GCCAAAAGAATCAGCTGCTAAAGCTGGAGCCTACTTTTCTGTAGAGAGAGTAACGTTTGATGTTTCTGGACATTTTTGTAACACGTAACTCCTACCCCGAGCTCCTGCTGCCTTAGCAGCACTTCTCACATGAAAGTACAAGACTCAAAAAAAGGGTACCTTCCACACACTATACTCCCATTGAGGAGGCAAGCAGACAGTCTTTTCTGACAGCTGGCTGTCCATCTGGTGTTTGATGTGGGGCAGAAAAGCACGGTGGGGTAATAAGGGAGACGGATGTTTCTCTAGGTGACAATCCAGCCTTCCCGAGAGCAGGCTCCCTTGGGCTCCCTGCCCTTCTGCCCTGCAGGCTGCCTCTCCCCACAGGATGGCAGAGCGGTCTTCGTATAGTGCAGCTAAGCTCTCTCTGTGTACTTACCTGGCTTTTTATTGATTTGCAATTTCTTGATCACAACAAACATTTCAATCGCTTTGTTATGCTGTTGTTATGCTGTTATGCTGAATGCATTGGGGAAGTTTTGCGTGTGTGTGTTTTTTTTGAACAACTCCCAATCTTTTTTCTATTTTTATTTGTGCCTGAAATTCTCCTTTATTTTTATGCATTTGTGAACATTTTCTAGCCTCTCTGTTCCAGAAAACTAGGAGGAATATGTATGCTAGACAAAAAGTGATCACCTGTCAAACTGTTGGGCCAAAGATAGTATTTTAAAACTTTGATAATCTTTAATTTGTTATGTTTGAAATGTATAAATAGTTCAAATATCAGCATAACATTGCTATATTATACAAATCCAGTTTAAGAACTGTCCAGACAGAAATCTTCTGAACCAACTACATTTAAAAAAATTGTTCTTGGTGTCTACAAACATATTTTGCACTTTTGAGAGACTATTGTTGCTTTACAAGTAGTAAAATGTGAATAAGCATGAATTATTCAAATGTTAGAATTGTCTGAATTCTCTTATTACTGTGAAAATGACTACTTTTAAAACAATGTGAACACCAAACTTACAAAAATCAATCATATATACACTTTAAACATAAAAAATATTTTAAATTTTATTTTCAGTCTTAGCCTGTGATCTGAAGATAAGTATTACTTAGAATTGATTAAAGAGAAGCACCCAAAGGCTGTGGCTTGGAAAGGAACAACTCGTCTGAGCTGTGATTATTAGGAAATTTATTCCAGGAGGAAGGAGAGGGGCAGTGCAGGAGTAGCTGGCCTTCTCACTGATGTAGAGCACCTCTTTGGGATGATGTGCATTTTGCTGCAAAGATGACACCAGCCTTCTTTCTCTGTTTCTTCCTATTCCTCCTCACATTCTTTGCCCATTGGCAGTGAGAGCAAGGCCATCGTTTTAGCCATGGCCTGGCATCTAGTCTTAGAAATCCTTTCGTTCATGAGATGGGAGAAAGCAGTCCAGAAATGGCCAAACTCAGCCAGGCCCATTACTCCCCCACCTCCTATATTGAAAGCCCACGTGTTTTCATCCCTTCCCAGTAGATAGAAGGAAACAATGGATTGGATATTCTTGCTGATTGTGAGGCCAAATCGGCTGGATGTTGGGGGATAGCTAAAATGGAAATCTTTGCTGTGTTTGCTATCAACATGGGAAAATGACTGACAAAATTTAAGGTTTCCAATAAGTGAATTGAGGATACTTCTTGGATGTTAGGACATGCTGCTTGCTTTATTTAAAATGGAAAAAAATATCCTGTTTTAGGAGGCACAGTTTTAAGAGGCCTAATGAGGCATCTATAATATGCGAGTAAGTAGTTTGAAAGGTAAATCGAGGAAAGGCATGCAGCGATTCCTGTTCCCAGGGCTCTGGTCAGAAAGCCTGTGTTGTCTGCATCTACTAAGCAGTTCGCTAGTTTGTCCCATCATCCAATAAAAGCTGAAAGATAAAGAAGCAAAAACAAAACAAAACAAAACAAAACAAAAGAGCTAAAAACAACAACAACAAAAAAGACCAAGAAAGCAGAAAACTTACCACCACCATAGTTGTTTTTCTTCACATTTTGAATTCTCTCCTTAAACTGCCTTGGTCTTTTTCTAGTTTTCCGAATCCTCAGGTAGTTGCTTTTTATCCTTTGTCCAGAGTTTTTATTTATATTCAGTGGGAGAGATCAAGTTAAACATATAGTGTGATTATCTGTATATGTAAAAACATATGATTACATACGATACTTTTTTTTTTTAAAGACCAGAAGGTCAAAATTATTATCTTGGCTCTTTTGGACTGGTGAGATTATGTGTTTTCCCTCTGTTTTCTATTTTCTGAATGTTTCATAGCACACCTTCCTCAACCCTTCAGATTTAATCATTTTTCTTCTGAATCTTTGGTTAGCTGCGTCTTTTCTAAAGGATCATGTCGTTCACAACCATTAAAAACCATTAAACTCTGTACCAGCCAGATTGCTTTCAGCTGCAAGAAACAGAAATTACCAACTCTGTGGCTTAAATAATAATGAAATATATTTCCTCACATAATGAAAAATCCACAGGAAGGTAGCTGCAGGGTTGGTTGACTCTGCAGCTCTATCTTATCACCTGCCATCCTGATGTTCGGCTGTGGCCTCCGACTGGTTTCCTTCGTGGTTGCACAATGGCTACGGCAGCTCCAGGAATCACTTCTAGACACAACATGGGGAGCTTAAAAATGAGCCATCTCTTCCTTTGAATTAGTTAGGATTGGGTTTGATTGTAAATGACAGAAACTCAAAATAAGAGTAGCTTAAGTGTGGTATATTTTTTGTTCTTCCATACATGTTCTTCATTCCCAAGGTCATTCATGATCTCATGTGGTTATTTCACCTCCAGCTATCACATCCACATTCCACACAGCAGAATAAAGAAAAGGAGAAAGAGAAGGTAAAGGGCACTTGTCAGTTATCTAATGAGGAAGATTCCAGGGCGTTGATACACTGCATGTCTGCTTTTCTCCTATTGGTCAGAAGTTATCAGGCCTAAATGGGCTACAAAAGAGGCTGAGAAATATATTCTTTATTCTGGATTATCCATGTACACAGGTGAACTTTCTACTACTATGGACTAAGTGGAGCATAGTGGAGAGCAACAAGCAGTCACTGCCACATTCTTGTTCCTCTCAACGAACTTTCTCAGAAGCCACCAACAGATTTTCCTTTATGTTTTATTGGCCAGAAGAGTATTGCATGCTCATGCCTAAGCCAAAATCCTGGCAAAGGAATGGTACCCCCATAATTAGCTTATGTCAATCAAGATTCACCATCTAGGCTTGGGGTTAGGGCCATCCTTCTGGGAAAAAGGCAGATGGCAAACAGATACCTGAGCAAAGTCAGAATTCTTAGGAAGGAGCAAGGGGTGCAGGAAAAGGAGGGTCAGGGTGGAATTGGTAGGTATACTCTCTCTATGGCGTGCAATAGCGTCCATGTCCCTGATTTCACGTTAGGTGCTATTGAAATGTGTATCTGTTACAGCTCCTGTCACTGTCCCCATTTCTTCACGGCTGCTTATGTTGAGGATGAGAGAAAGGAGTGGAACAAAGCCCAATAAAATTCAGTTATGCTAGTGGCTCCCCCAATATGTATACTCCCCTTCTACCTACGAGTGCATTTGAATTAAGTTCTGAATGTTGAAGTTATATTTATTCAGAAGTACAGATCAGCGTCTCCGAAAAAAATATGTGTTCCTATCTTATGGTCGACTAGGAGGATCCCTAAAGAGAATAAAACAGAGCAAATAAATTGGCATTTAGAATTTAGGACATTTTGTTAGTCACCTGCCCTCTCAAACATGTTTGGGAGGAAGGAAGCCAACATATAAAAAAGGATGAAAAAATTAGATGGAAGAAAAGGGTGATGAATGAAATAGGCGAAAGAGAAACACAGGGCATGTATGTGAGTGGGAGGGAAGAAGCTGTGTGATTTTGTCACTAGTGTGTTGCTATGGTAATGAAGCAAAATTAGGCTGATATTACTCTGTTGGTTTTGTTTTGAATAAGGGTCCAAATATGTGCAAGCAATGATAAATATAACTGCCAGAAAGATGGTGCATTCCATCTGCACAACCCATATATTCTCTTCTTGTAGTCAAACTACCAAAAGAAAATCAGGTTTTTAAAAAATTAATTCAGATAAGATTTAAATGTGCATGCAGCCTGGTCATTCAGGTAGATCATTCTCTTTCTTGGACAACTCATACAGTCTATCTCCAGTGTTGCTACCATATAATTCACCATGTAAAGTTTTCCCTTTCTAAACACACTTTCCAGATTACCTTGAGCGGAATTGTGGGGATTCCTAATCGTGGTTGGTTTAAGTCACAGGTGTTTACAAAGTCTTGGTAAACTTACTTCCTCAGATGGTTGTTCATGTTCACTATATGTAGATATCACTAGCTTAACTCTAGGAGTTACTGAACAACCATATTTTTTGTTATCACCATATTCTTCAATGATCTCTGTTGGATTGGGCATTTTAGCGGACAGAATTAAAAGGTTTCCGTCTATTTATTAAAATACAGAATAGAAACTTAACTTGAAATTATTATTTGCTGGATAAATATTTATTGAATACTTACTGGGGGAAAAAAGTGGAGTAACTCATCAAAGTCCAAGAACTACAGATTTCTTTAACAGTATGGAGGAGCATTTTAAAATTGTGGTAACCTTCACTGGCATCTCCTGAATTTTTTAAGGGGAGAGAAGAGGCTGTGGCTCAAGAACTCAACCTTGGGCCACTTTAAAACTACTTGCTTTGGGACTATGCAGAGGTGGTTGTGGGCAAGTCAGCTGAGCATCACCTGAACTAAGACATGTCAGGAAGATGTGAATATTCAGGTCTCAGTCCAAGGGAGCACTCAGGAGGGCCATAGCCCGCCCTAGGGCTGGTCAGTATCATCTGTGAGTTTCTCGTGATCCTACACAGACACCCAATCAGACCAAATATGTGACCCTTGTGGTCCAGACTGGATAGGGAAGGAAGTAAAGTTGGGAGGAGGCTGGTACAACGCAGAAATGAGCAAGGGACTGCAGACTGGAGTCCTGGATGAAGGTGAAGATTAGATTAAGTGTGTGTATGAGATTGAGAGTGGTGGAGATAAATGTGGGGTGAGAGAAGGCTGTGATGGGAGAATGGAGTTTCTGAGGTGGAGGAATTCCAGAAGGATACGTTTTCAGGATGTGTTCATGAGAATGAGTTCTTGTTCAGAAGATAATGGATGAAGGGGTGCTAAGGACATTTGTGGCTTTGCATAGCACTGTTACGTACTTTGGGACCCAATCCTTCCATGTAAATGATCCCAGTAGGGGCTGCCAATCAATGCAGACCACCCTCTTGGCCACAGAGTTGGGCATATCATCCAAGCCAATAAGAATTCTTGCCGAAACCGGTTTGGCTCAGTGGATAGTCAATAAGAATTCTTCCACAGGATTTTTCAATACTTCGTTAGGCAAATGGGTGGCAGAGGGAAGAAGGGAGTTCCTCTCTTGGGCACAGAACAGTGAGTATGTGATCCTGGGACATTGCTTCTGTTCACTCCCAAATCTGTGTCTCTGCCTCTAATCTCTCCTTTAGCTTCTAGAATCCCTTTAGACAGCTCCATCTGAATGTCTCATTAACCCACAGCCCAGACAGAATTCTTTTTTCCCAACCCAAATGGATCTCCATCCTTTGATGTTGTCTGTGGCATCAGCCATCTACACTAGAAGTCATACTTAACATCTCCCTCCTCCTCACCCTCAAACACAATCAACCACTAAAACCTGTTGATTCAACTTTATGAATATTTACAAATTTCTTCCCTTCTCTCTATTTCTACTGCTGTGGCCTTGGTACAGATCTTTACCACAAGCTCTTAACTGGTCTTGCCACCAGTCTTAAAAATCTTCAATCTGTTTCTTCCTGTTCCCACCTGCCCTCACCCTGAGTAGAATGAGCTTTTTCCTTCAGCACCTCAGGGCTTGCTCCTGCTCTCTCTGCAGTCTTTTCTCTGGACACAGCCCTGCTTTCCAGCCACGCTGAACAGCTTACGGTTGCCTGAACCGTCCACATGTTTTTCCCTGCTCTAGGCTTTAGCTCAAAAGCTGCTTACTTTGCCTCAAATACACGTTTTTCTTTGAGAGCTAACTCCTGTTCATGCTTTCAGATGGGACTTGAGTGTTGCCCCTCCGGGCATCCTTTGGTGACATTTTCACCATTGCCTCCCTGGTTGAGATCATCCTAACATGCTCTCACAGATGTTAGATGAGGACTCGCTGCCCTGTGTTGTGAAAACCAATCTGTGTGTCTCTCTTCCCCACTAAGCTGCAACTCTGAGGGGAAAGCTTGAGTTTTATTCAAGTCTGTATTCCATTTCTTGGCTGGGAGTCTGACACAAAGTAGACCTTTAATAAATACCTATGGACGAATAAATGAGTGAATCCAGGGGAAATGCATTGCTAGCTTTAGTTCTCTGATTCTGCAAACCCATTCTCTTTTTGAGCCATGATAGTTCTATGAAGCACTGCTAAATCACGTCTTGTCTGAACACTGTATCTTCATTAAAGTTTATTTATTTTGCCATTGGAAAAATAGTCCAATGTCTTCATTTGTGCAGATGAAGAAACTAAGGCCCAGAAAGGTGCAATGCACTCAAAGGCACACAGCTGGGCCACGCTGAGAGGCGCCTGGCCCCTCTGTCCTGGACCCAGTACTTTCTTCTCAACAACTAAGCTGCCTGCCTAGAGCAGCTGAAATTTAAAATACTTTTGATCTTGTTTTTTTGAGGAACGTGTTCAGTCGTCTGAACACTGTATCTTCATGAAAATTTATTTATTTTGCCATCAAACTGGAAAAATAGTCCAATGTCTTCATTTGTACAGATGAAGAAAATAAGGCCCAGAAAGGTGCAATGCACTCAAAGGCACACAGCTGGGCCACGCTGAGAGGCGCCTGGCCCCTCTGTCCTGGACCCAGTACTTTCTTCTCAACAACTAAGCTGCCTGCCTAGAGCAGCTGAAATTTAAAATACTTTTGATCTTGTTTTTTTGAGGAACGTGTTCAGTGCTTGTAGCCTCAGGAAAGGAACACTCCCACCTGCAGACGGTTCTCAGTAGATACTTTGCTCCTGTCTAAAAGAGTTTTATTCCCTATTTCAGGCCAGAGAGTTACACCGAGTACCTTACAATGTGGCTGCTCCCGGCCTCCTCCGCACACTTTAGAAACTCCGAGGAAGGAAACGCAGCTTCTCCTCTTCTCTGTCTGGGAGCCGAACGTGGGCTCTGAGATAGGACTGACTTGGTTGGGTAATGCACCTCCCTGCTAGGTTTTTAGAAAAACCATTCATAAGTAAGTCACGAAACAAAAGCATCTGGTGCTAGAGGTGGTAGGATGGGTGTTCAGAAAGTGAAGTGCAAAGCTGAGAGATGTTTCCGTGATCATATTTCATGATAACTTAGGCTTCTTTTTCAAGCCAAATCTCGTTTTATTTCCCTTCTTTCTTCCATTCTCTGTCTCTGCCCTGTCTGCTAAAATGATCTCTCCTGATTTTTCTTCAGTTTAATTCTCTGATCACTGTACTTATTGCTTGTGGAATTTTCACACATTTAGCAAGTCAGCTTGACTGAGGTTTTCTTCAGTTATATGACATAACAGTTTAAGCATTTGAGTCATTTGAATTGCTGGATTCAAAATACCGTTGGGCTTTTTACATTAATTTTTAAATGAAGATGTTTTATAGATGGTTAGTCTGTCAAATTATTGCCTTTTATAATTTCTAGGGTGTTTCTTCTTGCAAGTGATTGTTTTGGATGTTTGCCCTCCCCCCAAAAAAAGAAAATCGACAGAAAAAGCCATAAGCCTGAACACTACGTGGCAAACTGATGATGAACTTTCCAATTAGCAAGGCTTTTAGAGGTTCTACTTAGAACCATAGATTGCATGCTGTGTGTGTGTATGTGTGTGTGTGTGTGTGTGTGTGTGTGTGTGTATACATACATATGTACTCGTCCATATGTATTTGTATACAAATGTATAAGTATAGCCACCATGCATGCTTGTTGGGGTGTCATATCAAAGCACCCTCAGAAACATCCTCGACTAATGACAGGAAATTCCTAGGAAGCTTTTTTGTGTCAAGTATTTATCACAGAATTTTAGCTTTTTTGTAAAAGAGGGCACTCTAAATATTTCCTAATGAAACCTTTGAAACAATGTCCTGTCCACTTACAGTTGAGAAGTAATAAAAATTCTAGGTAATGAACCTGAGCTTTATGATTACACAATAGAGAAGAAATAATTCTGGAAGCTGAATTCCATGGCGGCGTTGCCTGCCAGGGGGAGTCTGAGCCTCCTCACAGATTCCTGTCCCCCTGCCCATCCTTCCCTGCAGCCTCCAAAAAAGCCTCCCAAGCAGCAGCCAGCTTCCGGTAGGGGTTGCTGTTGTGTAATACAAGGCCCATTGTTCTCACTAGAATTTGGTTATCTTTTCAGATCATTTCCAACCTTTGCCCTTTCCCAGGATTTAATCTGTTTAAATTGATATTGGTTATTTGCTCTTGAGTTTACTGTGAATTTAATCTTACGTTACTGTTTAATACATTAAAGTACTATTTTGGTTGTTGCCGCTGCACTGATTAGCATTAATTTTCCCCAGAATGTGTTCAGAATATCAGTGAGTTTGTTTTGGAGAATGAATGATAATTTCATTGTTTTAAAAACACTAACGTATTTAATTACTTTATTAAAATGCATGAAGTGAATTTTGATGAGATCAGTTCTGAAATCAAACTAACATTTTCAGAGAAACTACAACACTGGCTTTAATATACAAATTTTGCCTTTAAAATTTTATGTTTCTGCTGGTAGAGAGGCATTATATTTGCATTTTTGAGCCTGAATAATTCTAATTCCATTTTTATTGTACAAACCCAAGAGGAACATTTACTTTGTTTTCACTGATTAGTTATACAATCATTCTTTTCAGATACTGCATGGACCATGAACCATAATATTATATTCCTTGCTAATACATTTTGGCAAAAGTATTTACATGAAAACACAATACATAAATGTAATGACTTTCTCAAATGAGTACATTGTTGCCATGAAGCAATCACCTTTATTTTAATACAAGTAAAATTCATTAAAATTTTCTCAATTAGCAAAGCGACTTTTCCAAATGAACTAGTGAAGGAAAAACATTGTCTGTTTTATCCTAACCCAGCTGATTTGCCTTTATTACCAGATGCCTATTTATGGAAGAGAAAAAAAAAGAAAAGTGTTTAATTTTAATAAACTTGATGCAGTGCTGACTCCTAGGGGATTAGGTATGGTTCTGATACACTTAGTTTCTTTTTGGTTGGTTTCAAAGTAAAAGTTAGATTTGAAAGCAAAATCCCTTGAAACAAAGATACTACCTTCAAGACTCTCTCATGTTGAAAGGAGGAACTTGGAGACCCAAATGAATAAATCCTTTGAATTGCAAAACTTACTTTTAACAAAAAAATATTTTATTTTTCCCTTTCACTAAAATGCTTAAATCCCATCATAAGTCTAATAACCAGATTCTGGCATTTGACACAGACAGTTGAGTTGAGCCTTGTATCTGTAAGTACAAATGTAGCTTTTAGGGGAAAAATACAATCACCTTTGAATTCACGTTTATGTAGTATAGATTTTAGATTAATTTATCTTAACTGTCCATTTCTGAAGCAATTTTTTAAAATTTCTAGTGTTGGTTATTCATTTTACGTGCAGAGTGAAAACATATTCTCCCCAATCCCCTTTATATAGGTTTTAAAAATGACACTAACTATGCACACACTGAATGACTCAGAGTATGGGATTTAAAATCTGTTAGTTATTCCTAATAAAAATGCAAAGACTAAGTAAGAGTGCTAACTATCCTATATATTTGTGGGATTCCTGTTCTTAAAATACTTAATAGCACTGAGTCTCATTCTTGGAAGGAATACCCATTTAGCATTCTTCAGATGGATTATAAAATGTTAGTTAAATAACATTGATAAGGGGGAAAGGTTAAGACAGAAAATTCTAATTTCTAGTCCTGTTTTTCTAGGATAAGGGACAACTAATATAGTCTCTGTCTAGTAGTAAGGTGTTAAAATAGTTTACATTAACCCTGAGATAATATCTTTCTCTTTCCCTGGTATTAAATAACTTTTAAGTTAGGGGAGGAGGGTAAAGTCTTAAAATAATCACAATGATAAATTAGGGGTATGTGACATTGTCTAATACAAGGAATCAGGCTCCTTGGAAAAATGGCTGGTTATAGGGCTGAGGCAGAGACAAATTAAGATGAGCCTGGAACATCTGGTCATGCCTGAGAGTAAGGAAGTGCTCAAAAAAAAAAAAAAAAAAAAAACAAAAAAAATTAGGCATGTTAAAGAGAAATAGGAGTCAACCTAAAAGAACTACCAATGGACAAACCTGGGACAATTTGGGTAACAAAATAAATAAAATAGTTATAGATTATAATCCAAAGTATAAAATAAATAGCCAGGAATCCACAATTGAACAAATAAGTAATATATAGAGCAGAAGAGGTAAATCTTTTCTAAGGAAAAATTCCAAATAATTTATGTAGCTATTCAGCATTTGAAGGTTTAAAATCTGTTAGTTATCCTATCTAATAATAGACAAAGATTGAAATTAACCGTACCTCCGCTACGCTTCCCATTGGCTAATCAGCGAGATATGCAAATTAACCACCAACAAAGATGATGGCCGGCAGCCA